CTTCTTGTCTTTCCTGGCCCCCGACGCTGTAAGTTAACACCCCACAGGCGGGTCCAAAGAGGATTTCAACGAAACCTGAAGCTTGGGAGGAGAGATTATGCTGCAGAAGTGGCCTGGGAGACTGTAAAATATGCACTCCCACAATTGCCAAAGAAGGAACTGGATTTGCTCCCTGGGGAGCAGGGTCATCTCTGGTCTCAGTAATGGTGTCCTAGGGGGGCAATGAATGCCTTGAAGATAGGTCACCCCCTTCTATCTCAGCCTGGTCCGGCTGAGCCTCCCCGGGACCCTGGGAGTGCTTGGTCTCCCCAAATTTGGTGTCTCCTGGTAGGTCACTGCTTGATGAAAACCAAGTTTAGGACAGATGCCCATGAAAATGCCCCTGGCACAGCTGGCCCTTCGTGTGCATGAAGCAGCACCTGGGAGAGTAAAGGAGTGGGATAGCCTTTCCAAGGGTGTTCGTGCTTCCCCCAGCACCGTTCACCCATGCCCTGGGATGAGGGGCTGAGAGTGGCTTCTGCCCTGCAGGGTGCTGGTCTGGGGCGAGGTGGCCCATTCTGGGTCCTGTAATGTGAGGAGCAGAGCTGAATGCTGCTTTTGGTTTGGGTGGTTTGCTGGTTTCTGATGCAACTGCATCTACAGAGGAGAGCTGGGCTGGGGAGATGGCTCATCTCATCCCATCCCATCCTGTCCCACAGGGGTCAGGGGGGATGTGCTGACCCCGGCAGCCTGCTGTGCTGGCATGGGAGTGCGGGCACGGTAGGCAAAGTCTGCCCCACCAGCCCTCCTGCCCTTCCTTGGAGTTCTTCTGGCAGCAGGCTTAGATGCTACTAATTTAAGTCTCTTGATATCCTGGTGAGAAAAATCAGAGCGGTGGTCTCCAGTTCAGTCTTCTGGAGCCTGCAAATGTGCAGACCTGGAAGGGGCTTGGAGAGGAGCGGTGTGCTTTCCCCAGTCCTTCAGGGTGTCACTGCCAAGGTCCTGCTGGCTCGTAGCGGGGTCCCATACCCGGGGTGCAGCCCTGGCCATGGTGAACATGATCCTTTCAGTGTCCCCCATCATACGACATCGTGTGCCCTCTTGAGCTGGCTCTGGAGGAGTGTGGTTGGGTGCTGGTTTTGGGGCAGAGCTGGAGGAACCCCACACAGAGCTCCTCTCCTCCCTTTTTTGCCCATCTCTTGTTTCGTGCTGTGTGGCACAAGCCTCGGTCTTGGGACCACAGAGAAGCTGTATGTCGGGGCCAAGCCAACGTGGCTGCAGGTACCAGAGCAGCCTGTGCTATGGCCAGGTGCCTGATTCGGGGGTCTGGAACTGGTCCTGGCAGCCTGCAGGTGACAAACTGCAGAATGGACTGAAAGGGACTGTCACCCAGCCAAGGAGAGCTGTGCCACCGCAGCTCGCATGTCCACTGGGGCTGCTGCCACCCTCAGCACAGCCCAAACTCCACCCCTGTGGGGCTGCCTCCCACTCCCCGCTAGGATGCAAATCCAGACCTTGTCCATTGAGTGGCTTTGGGTTTGCACCAGTGTCCCCTGGTGCCCGAGCCGCTTTCCAATGAGCTGTCACCTGCCAGCAGCAGTTCGTGTCCTCTGCTCCCTGGGGGCTGCTGCTTTGGCACGTGGGTGAGCACTAGCGAAGCTGGGGCTCCTCTCTTCAAGGGAAGGTGGGTACTTCTGCTCTAGGGCAGTGCTACCCCGCAGCCCACCCTCCTTTGCTGGCTCACCCAGGAGCAAGCTGCCTTTTCACCCCATCCCTCTTCTCTCCCGCAGGCACGTACCAGGGCCAGTTCACCAACGGCATGCGGCACGGCTACGGCGTGCGGCAGAGCGTGCCCTACGGCATGGCCTCCGTGGTCCGCTCCCCGCTGCGCACCTCCCTCTCCTCCCTGCGGAGCGAGCACAGCAATGGTACCCTGCCCCAGCAGGACTCTCCCGCTGCCAACCCCGAGAGCCTGCCCCTCTCACCCACCATCACCCGTGGGGGCTTCGCCCTCAGCCTCTACGCAGAGGCAGAGGATGGCAAGCCCAAGAAGGGGGGGCTCTTCCGCAGGGGCTCCTTGCTGGGGAAGCTGAAGAAGTCTGAGTCCAAGTCATCCCTGGCCAGCCAGAAGAGCCGCGTCAGCTTCCTCAAAAGTGAGAGCGGGATCAGCTCGGCCGCCAGCGACGCCACCTCCACCGTCAGCCTGGGTGAGGGTGCCGAGGGCGAGGAGTACCCCCCCTTTGAGTCCGACATTGATGCCACCACCACGGAGACCTACATGGGCGAGTGGAAGAACGACAAGCGTGCCGGCTTTGGCGTCAGCGAGCGTTCCAGTGGGCTGAAGTACGAGGGCGAGTGGCTGGACAACCTGCGGCACGGCTACGGCTGCACCACGCTGCCCGACGGCAAGAAGGAGGAGGGCAAATATCGCCACAATGTCCTCGTCAAGGGCATGAAGAAGCGCGTGATACCCCTTAAGAGTGCCAAGATCCGGCAGAAGGTGGACAGGAGCGTGGAGGGGGCTCAGAGGGCTGCGGCCATTGCCCGGCAGAAGTCAGAGATTGCAGCGTCCAGGTAGGTGCTTGGGGCTCCAACACTCAGGTCCCCGTGGTGGTGGTGATCCCCGTCTCACGTGTCCCTCTGGAGCCGTACCACGAGCCTCCTCGCTGCACACCGGCGGCGGGGTCAAACATGGCTCTCCGCGATTTCTGTTTAATTCTTTGTACTCAGTGCTGGTGGAGCAGGGCCAAGGGCTCTCATGGCAGCTCGGGGGTGTTCAGGACCTGTTCTCCCTCACACCTCCTCTCCCATCCTCCTGGTCCGGAGGAGCTGCTGGACAGCAGGGACTGGCACTGGCCCCAGTGCTCAGCAGAATGGGGTGCATGAGCTGGTGGGATGGGGAGCACCCTGGTGCTGTGCCAGGCATTGACAGGGCAGGATGAGAAATAGTGGAGTTTGACTGTGGTAAATCCAAGAGGTTTATGAGCAGCAAGCGAGACATGTCCCAGACAAATCGGGTCTGCAGCAGAATGCGACTTGGCCCTGGAGTCCCCGTGGTGGCTCTGTGGGGACTTTATGGGACGCATTAGGGTTATTGCTTAATTTTAGCGGCTCAGTGTAATGAACTCTATGGGGCAAGCGCTGCTGTGCTGGGATGCTGCGGACTGGGAGGCGAGACCTACGACAGGTACCAAACCAAGGAGGGGGCTGCCTTCAGGAGCCCGACTGCCTCCCAGGGCCCAGCTACCCTTGACCAGGTTTTATGTGAGTGTTTCTGCCATGAAGGAGGCGGCGGCTGGAGCCACGGCTGATGGCTGAGCCCGCGCTGGATGGCCAAGCCCAGTCCCATGGCGCACAGCCACATCCCGCAGCCTGCGATGCTTTAGGATGCTGGGAAAGGAGGAAGCGGGGAGGGCTCAACTGGGTTTGTCCCCTTTTGTCCCCCCAGTTTGTCCTGGCCAGACCTCAGGGATGCGAAGGGGGCTGTGGCAGCCGGCAGCAAGTGAGCAGCAGCGTCCCTGGGGATGCATGTGTGCCGCAGGGGTGTGTGAAGGGAGGAGTGTGCAAGGGGCTGCTGCGAGCACGTGGCCATCTCTTGTTGCACTGGTGTCCCTTGTACCAACAGACGTGTGGGCACCGCCAGGCACCATGTTGCCCCTACACTACCTGGTACCTTGGGACCAGACAGGTAGGCTCTGCTCAGAATTAGCTGTCTTAGAAATTAGTGGGAAAGAAAAGTGCTAATTGCTCCATTATCCCTGCCCCTGGCAGAGACCAGAGATCATCAGGCAGGGCTGGAGCCTTCATTCCTCTCCTCTTCCATGGGGAAATGTGGTTGTGACAGACCTCAAGATTTCACCTTGCCTCTCCATCAAAACCTCGCCCCATGCAGGCTTTGCTCAGCTGCTGGGCAGTGGCTGCGACTCCTTGGCTGTCCCGCCTTGCTCTTTTTAAGTGCTGTTTAATTATCAGTTACTCAAGCAGAGATGGGGAATAATGGCAGCAGGGAGGGCACCTCTTCCCAAACCCCATCCCTCCCCTCCAAGAAACCCCAGCTCTACTCTCCTGGCGGCCGTTTCTGCTCCAAAGTTTTGCCAGAAGCGTGATTGGGTTTTTTTAGCAAAACCCAGTTGCCTCAGAGACCAGCAGAGAAAAAACGGCAGGATTGCAAGTGAAACACCGTGTAGGGCCAGCTGGGATAAAAATACCAGGCTAGGGTGGCATGGAGCCCGCTGGATCCTCTGGGCAGGGCAGGCTCAGCCCGACACCAGCTTCGCCGTGCCTGGGGAAAACATGCAGCCGTGGCACTGGGCGCCCGTAAGCAAGGAGGCTGGAGCTGCAAAAGCTGCTCCCTGAGAGCTCAGCCAGTTTACACAAGCCTCTTTTTATTATACACTATTTACACTTTGGATCAAAAGCGGCTCTGCAGTGTTTTCCATCAGGGGCTGGAATGCGCCCGCTGCCCTGGCGGGGGACTGCATCCCTCCCCAGCATGGCTGGGGAATAATTTCCTATTAAGGAAACCTTGGAGCTGGAGGAAATAGGACGTTAAAGCCGGTTTCCTCCAGGGAGTCCTCCCTCGCAGACCCTAGGATAGTGTGGCTGGG